ATATATGTGACAACCTCTTCTACCACAATGCCAGCATTTAAAAAAATTATCATATACACAATGAAGCAAGAAAAATGATCCACAGTAAAAAGAAAACAGCTGAAAGAAACAAACCTTTATAAACCATGTTAAAAGTAAGCAGAAGTTTAATAAATTTGTTTAAAGGAAAAATAAAACTAAATGGGTGAAGATGGAGAACTTCAATATAAAATAAAGTCTGAAGAGCCAAAAAATTACTATATAGAAATTAATAAAAATGATATAATCTTGACAATTTTTTAGTAGTACACGTTTGTAGTACACAATGTTTATATTCCTTGTTAGGAATTGGTACATGTACACATTATATCCTAATTCCTTTTTTCATTCTCTTGCCCTATCTTCCCTGCCCACTTCATCTATCTTTTGATTCTCTTCTTTTGTGTATGTGTTGGGTATATGTGTGCAGTACACAATGTTTACATTCCTTCGTGAACTTGGTACCACCTAACACATCTTAATTCCTTTTTTAATCCCCTTTCCCTCTCCCTCCCTCCATCTCTTGATCCTCTTCCCATTTGAGAAAAATCTGCTGCCCTACTTCCTATTACCTGCCATTTGCTCTTTATTTCTGCTTCTCATATAACAAACCATAAGATATTTAAGCTTTGTGTTTATTTCATTTAACATTATGGTCTCTAGGTGCATCCATTTTCCTACAAATGACTCATCCATTTTCCTATATTATCATTCTTATGGCAAAGTAGTACTTTATTGCGTTTAAGTACCACAATTTCTTTATCCATTCTGATGATGGACATATAGGCTGCTTCACTATATATATTGTGTGGCTATAAACGTGGGTATTATCACTGCAACGTAACACCTTTAACTCTTTAGGGAAGATACTTAGAAGGAGAATAGGTGAGTCAAATGGAATTTCTAGTTTCAATTTCTTTGTCGGGGCGGGGGGACCGGGGCTCAAACTTGGGACCTTGCATTTTTGCTAGGCAGGCGGTGGAATCAATGAGCTAAATCCCGACCCTCTAGTTTTCGTTTTGAAGAATCTCTACATTGGCATTTTTCTTTTCTTTTTTGGTACCAGGGATTGAACTTTGGAATCAATGGAATCTCAATGTTGTTTTAATTTCCATTTCTGTAGTTGAGATAGGAGGCAGGGTGTAGCAGGGGAAGTAAGAGGGCCTGTTAATGACAAGATCCCAGAATAACGCCAAATAATTTCCAAAACCCATATATAAAACTTCTTGTGGGCTTCTTGTAGACGACATATAAGGACACAGACATCATGATGAGCGTGTTATCATGACTCCTCAGGGTAGGCCATCCTGTGCTTCCCAACACAGGGGACACTTTTTATTTTTGCTTTTATCTTTTCCTCTCTTGTTTGACCTAAGTTCACTCTGCAGTCAGTTTCACCCTTACTCCTCCACCCTTCCCTTTTCAAATAAACTTTTGGCACCATTTTAGTTTGTTTCATTCTTTGAGAGAAGGAGGACCCACTTCTAAAGGAATATAATATAATTACAATAACACAATTACCAGTGAGGTTGAGCATTTATTCATATATTTATTGGTCATTTGTACGTCGTCTTCTGTGAAATTTCTATTCATTTCACTTGCCCATTTTTTCATTTCAGGGGGAGTCTAAATTTTTTTGAGTACTTTATATTTTCTAGATATTAGTCCTCAGAGAAATAGCTAGCAAAGTTTTTCTTACTCTGTAGGTGGTCTTTCACTCTGTGGGTTCTTTTACTGTGCAGAAGCTTTTTAATTTGATATGATCCCCTTTATTGATTCTCAGTCCTATTTTCTGTGCAGAGTTCTGCTCAAAGAGTCCTTGCTTATAACTCTAACGTCAAGAGTTTTACCTATGTTGCCTTCTAGCAGGTTAAATGTTTCTGTTCTAACATTTAGTTTGATTTATTTTGATTTTAGTTTAGTACATGGTGAGAGATAATGGGTCCAGATTCAATATTCTGCAGGTGTACAGCCAGTTTTCCCAACACCATTTATTAAAGAGACTATCTTTTCTCTGGTGCATGTTTTTGGCCTCTTTGTCAAGGACCAAATAGATGAATGTGCTTGGGGTTGTTTCTATGCCTTCCGTTCTCTTCCTCTGATCCTCATGTCTGTGTTTGTGCCACTATCATGCTGTTTTTAATCACAGTACCTTTGTAATATAACTTCAAATTCACTCTTGTTATCTGGGATTTCTTTTGCTATTTCTGGGTCTCTTCTGGTTCCATATGAAATTTAGGATTGTTTTCTTTAGTGTTGTGAGGAATGCTGTTGGTATTTTGACTGAACTTGTATTAAATCTGTATATCAATTTTGGAAGTATGGCCATTTCGATTAAACTGGTTCTGCGAGGAACAGGAGGTATCTTTCCATTTATGTTCTCTTCAATGTTATTTTTTCAGAATGCTGCAGCTTTTAGAGGTCTTTCATTACCTTAGTTTGGTTAATCCCTAAGTATTTAGTTTTTCTTGCTGCAATTGTGAATTTCTTTCTCAATGGGTTCATTATTTTTTTCCCTTAAATTCTTTCACCGGTACATTTCAGGTATACATCTACATTTATCATTGGGAACTTGTAGTTTTACATGAGGTATCTTGGTTCTTATTTTTTTTCCCATTCTCTTGCCCTCCCTTAAACACGTCTACCTCTCCCTATTTACAAAGATTTTGTTTCCATTTTTTCCTTTTCTCATATTTTTTCCTTTCCCTTCCTCCTTTCTCCTATGCCTCCGACTCCCCCTACCCCTTTGGACCTTTCCTTCTGTTTCACATTAGGGTCATTATTAATGTACAAGACCACTAATGATTTCTATGTGTTGATTCTGTATCCCACTGTACAAGTGAATTTACTTATTAATTCTAAAAAGAGTTTTTTTGGAGCTAGTGGAGAGAAATTATAATCAATAAAATTGAGATTTCCCCCCACCCCAGAAAAGAACTAATGAATAGAAGAGTTGGTTCTTCAAAAGAATAAACAAAACAGAGAAACCTTTAGCCAATCTAACCAAGGAAAGGAGAGAAAAGACCCAACTAGACGTGGTTAGAAACGAAAAAGGTAAAATCACAACTAATCCTAACCCTAATCTTCACCCTCCCACATTATTAAAAAATTAATAAAATCCAATCACTCCTGTTGTCAAAACATCCAATGACTTCCTGTTTTAGAAAAAAGCCATGGTCTTTACAATAGTTTACAAGATCCTACAAACTGGAGGTGTTCACTGTCTTATCTTCTACCACTCTCCCCCTCTCATTCTGCTCTAGCCACACTGATCACCTCGCTGACTCTTAATCAGCACAGCAGCTTCTGCCATAAGGTTTCTGGACTTGTGAGGGATGACCAGCTGTCTTGCTGTCTTTTTTCATGTCTTCTGCGTATTATCACTTCAGTGAGAACTTTTTTATGCATCCTACCTGAAATTATTTTTCCTTGTTTTATTTTTATCACAGCAATTACCATTACTGGAGTAGAATATACTTAATGTACTGTTTCTTACCTCCCATCCCTACTAGTGTATATACTTCAGAAAAGTAAAGATTTTTGGTTGATTTTGTACTTCCAGTGTTTAGAACATGACTGGTACAAAGTGGCCAATTTCTAAATACTGTTTCTTTAATAAGTAAACACAAGAATTACTATGATTTGGATCTTAAGTGTGTTAAGAGGGCTCATGTGCTAAAAACCTATTTGCCAAGAAAAATGCTACCAAGAGATTGTGGAAACTTTAGGAGGGGGCCCTAGACATAGATTTTGAGGTTTGGGGGCCATGCCCTCAAAAGGAACTATGAAACCCAGTCGCTTTCTCTTTCTTGCTGCCTGGCTATAAGGTGAGCAACTGCTCTATCGCATACTTCCAGGACCAAAAGCAACGAAGCCGACTGATTATCAACTAGAACCTCCGAAACTATGAGCCAAAATAAAGCTTTTTTCTTTATAAGGTGATCATCTCAGGTACTTGTTATAGTGAGAGAAAGCTAGTGTGAGAACTAAACTAAAAACATTTTCTCTAGCCAGGAGTAGTGGCACATGCCTGTAATCCTAGCATTCAGGAGGCTGAGGCAGGAGTATTGCTGTGAGTTCAAGTCCAGCCTGGGATACTCAGCAAGAGTCTGACTCAAAAAATTTTTTTTTCCTCTGAATTAACTGTTGAATAAACAAAATAGGCATTATTAATTTTAAAATGAGATAAAATATATTTTAATAGAAATAACAGAAAGGAAATATAAAACCTAAGTTAGCATAAATTTCATGTTCACATAGAAAAATGATTGTTTTCTAAGAACTTATTTTTAAATTCAGTCAATATAAAAATCTTCAATTTTATGACATTAGGAGAATTAGTATCAGCGGTATTCATTTCCTGATATTTTGAATACTAGAATTTATGAGAAAAAAATCGAAGTCAATATAAATGCTGAAATGTCTTGAATCATGCATCAAATTCAAGTTTTTAAAATATTTTAAATGTTTCAAAAATTTTAACTACTCATTTTTACTTCATTAGAACTGTTATCCGAAGACTCATGGATGAAGTCAACTATTAAATCTTTCATATTTTAAACATATTAATGTTTAAGGGTAGGAGTATATACAGTTCAATGGTGGAGAGCTTGCCTAGCATTAATGAGGACCTGGGTTCAGTCTCTAGCTCTAAAAAAGAAAATATATTTTGTGTATACACACACACACACACAAATACTGTATTAATGTTTAAATGTATTAAATACATCCAAAGACATTTTCAAAAAATAAAGCAAAATCAAAAGTTATGTCAAAGAAAAACATTCTGATAAAAAAGAATGAAATAAATCTAGGGAAAGTGAAGCAAGTAGAAAGATGAGGTTATTTAAAAGGCATCATCTGTTTAAAAATGTTTCTAGTTTACCATTTTAGTACAACGAATTATATGTAGCATTACTTAGATTTATACATTTAAAGAACACATGAGAAACCAAAAATATTAGTTTCATAAAATCACTCACCTACAACACCATTCAATGCGACCTTCACCCTCACAAGTTTTTGCCCAATGATTATCTGCCAAATTTTTCATTGCAACGGCATATTCACAAAGTGTTTCCTCATCTTCACAGTGTTCTCTCCAGATCTTATCAAAATCTCCCACTAAAAACAATGGGGAAAAAATAAATAAGCTAACTTAAAAACATCTGTAATTTCAGCAAAACCTCAAATGGTTTAAAAATAAGTGGACAAACCATGAAGTAAATGATTAAGTCTTAAATATATTTTAAAAGTTCCTTTGAATAAAATAGATATAGCATTTTAATTACAATTTAAAATAATCAATTTTACTCATTTTAATATTTTTAAAGCTGAACATAACTAATAAAATAGAGATACATGAAATGAATTGAGACTCATGAATAGTAGGTTTATGATAATTTCCATTTTAAATATAAGCTAAAACTGGGCATGGGGCCACACATCTGTAATCCTAGCACTTAAGAGGGTGAAGCAGATCACTGCAAGTTTGAGGCCAGTCTGGGCTACGATATTGAGTTCAGGGATAGCCTGGACTACGTCGTGAGACCTTGTAACAAAAAACCTGAAGTAAATTAAATAAATAAGAGTCAAAAATTTATAAACCAAAGGCATCTGGTAGAAGAAAGTAGTGCATTCAAGCACTAATTTTTCAGATATAACTGTGTAGTAAGATCTCACAGCAACATTGCAGAAACACCTAAGCTTGCTTCTTGGCTGTTACTTTCTTGGATCACTACATACTTATCAACTGCCTATATTAAAAAGGAGTTGGCAGTTGAGACGATAATGTAAATTAGCAACGAACTAAGTATCTTATTTACCTACTCATTACCTACTCAAACATGCTCCAGGTATACATTACTTTAAAAAGTAATAACCCTAAGGTAAAAATGTTGCTTAGAAGTATCATAGAAGCCTCTCTGAAGTTTTAATCTTATGTAAACACTCTGAATAAAATCTGTAAGTTAACCTACATTGTTTCCAACTACTATTTTGGTTAAAAATGAAAACAATAATCATATTTAATATGAAATCTGAAACATCACTGTTGAAGAATGGTTTGGCCAAATAATAGACCTTAACACAATTCTAAGGGTAGAGAATAAACAAAAAAACAAAGCATCAGGATGGCTTCATTCAACGTCCTTAGACATGGTCTTGCCTCATGTTCAAACACAGGCAATTATTTGGTGACAGAATAAACTTTAAAATATAAATAAAATAGCCTAAGGTAAGAATAATTACACCGAATTCTTTAAAACTAATGAATTCATTTTTCTTGATTTTTTTTTTTTTTACCAGAAAGTGGATTACAATAGTTCAAATGTAGCAATCAACATGTCCCATTTGCTATTTTAGTACTGAGTTGAAACTCAGCCCCCAGGTGAACTATTAGCCCCCAGTTTGACCAAGTCAAGAAAGAAGACTTAGGGTGCAAACATACCCTCGCCCAGATATTGTTCAGTTAAAAGGATATTATATGTAGCAGTCTTAGTCTCAGTCTGAACACTGATGTTAAAAAGATAAAAAGTTTAATTTGAAGGAGGTTACGTATCAATATTTTCATTGGTCATAACATGTGTGTGTGTGTGTGTGTGTGTGTGTGTGTGTGTGTGTGTGTGTGCGCAGTTACAGAGCTCTTAATGTGTTATATAGCAGACTTTATCTGGCCACTGAAACCAAGAAAACAAAATATTTTACAAATTCTCAAATAAAAGTACTTTCATTTAGCAACATCTTTCAGATGTAACTATCAAGTCTCTAAATACAACCGTAGGAAGTAAACTTTTTAAAGCAATGTCTTGATTAATGATACATTCATAAACCTATGGTGGTTCGTAACACTATTCCTCATTTTATTTACCAGATTTGATGCTAAATGGCTCAATAAGACAGAGTATAGTTTTTAAAGGTGCTTTATCTATTGTTGAGAGCAGTATCTTCAGCTTTAGAAGGTCCTTTATTAGAATTTGCTTCAGTTCCACCATCTTCTATAATATGATTATAAACAAATATGTAAGTGTAGTACATGTGCTATAAATACAAACCATTCAAACAAAAGTACTATCATCAAATATATTTTAGAAAAGCTATATTTAACACAAATAGATTCCCTTTCTGCAAGACTTACCTTCAATTATATAGAAGGTATAACTTAAAAACAAAGCTCACGTTAACTGAGGATGTTAACACACCTTTCCATTCGAATCTGCCCTTTGGACTAGGCAGAGATAAAGGGACATGCTCAGGGGGTTCCAGCAAAGCTGAAGAAGGCAGAACAGAAAAGCAGGCAGCCTACATTGAAGTCCAAACTTTATCAGGGATGGTGACTGAGTTGCGTGTCTGTCCATGTCAGCGGTGGACTTGGAGGATGCTATATGGGGCACTACCGGCAACTATTACCTATTCTTAACAGTCCTTACCATGTCATTTGTATACTTTGAAACTCCATTTACTCTGTAATTATCCACTGGCTAAAAGATGTAAAGACAACTGTAAATGGACAGAAACCTACTACCCTATAGCTTTTTAGATGACCTTTGTTTTTCCACACTCAATAAACTAAGTTTAAATACTGTTCTGTGGAGTTTAAAGGCTTACTGTATGCTTTACTGATATTTTAAGGAAGGTTTCAAATTGTCTGTACGTTTACTCAATTAAACCTTTGTAGATAATTTCAATTTTAATGTTTAGCAGTACAGTCTACAAACTCTTAAAAAGTGTGCTGACACTGAAAAGTGACAATTGGTAGAATGTAATACATATATATATATATATATGACATATATATATATGACATATATGCATATATAATTAGGAAAAAACAATATAATTTTATATACTTTTCATTTTATCAACAGATATGCTGAAAAAGTATTCTGTTAAACACTATAGAGAATAAAGTTATTAAGTAGGAATAAGTATCAAAAGGAGAAAACACATGTTAAATATAATGCAGTAGTATGCTATAATAAAAGATGTGAACCTGGTATGTTTCCTATGCCACATGTAAGGCACTCTAAAGCCAGAATTAATTAATAGGCATAAAGGAACATATTAGCAGAATGTGAAAAGTACACTCTCAAAGAAATAGAGTGTGGGCTTTCAAGACAGAGAGGAACCTTATGCCCTGCAACTGGAACTTATGTTTCTCTTCAAGGGGTGGAAACCCATACAATCTGTGAGTTTATAGTAAGTTCCCTCTTGGGTCTTGAAACTTGAATTTTTAATTCACGTATTTATTCAATAAAAATGTATCAAACCCCAAATACTAACTACTGAATATGTTAAATATCTAATGGTTACAAAGTTGAATAAAAAAGAGTTGCCCTTTAGTTCTGAGAAATTTTCTCTTTCTAGAACACCTTGAAAGCTTTAGCAGGGTATTATTTTCAATGAAGTTAATAAGCAGGATAAAATAAGGAAAATAGGTTTCTATAGTATGGAAAATAATGTATTTAACCATTAACTATGATATTTTCAGAATATTCTATGATTTGGGTTGTGAAAGCCAAAATAAATTTAACCATCCTAGGATACATATGCAAATTTCCTCTTCTGTCTTGGTCAAACTGCATACATAAAAATATATTAAAACTTGATTCAAAGGATTTGGGGTTTTTAGGTATATGCACTTTGACCAAGTCAGCAGAGGAAACTTGTAATCCAGTAACAAAATGACAATACTTTTCATTATCAAAAGGCAAATCAGAAACCAGAACTCACTGAGGTCTGATGATTCAGTGAATACAAATGCTTATTCAACCAGTCCAAATTCTCAATAATTAATTAGCCTTATAGTTTATTTTACTATTGTAGCATTTGAAAATTACCAAAAAATTACTGTAATTAATGACCCATTTTTTATCTCACTTCACATAGGAATTCTAGGAAAAAATGAATATATGGGTAGTGGGGAGAGGGAGAATATGAATATTTCAAACAAATATATACATACACTTCACTTTACCCAACAACAGAAAATTCAAAAATTACTTTTAGCAAGTGCAGTTAAAATGTGTCCTGCAACCTAATTTGAAATTAAGTTAACAAACATTACATAATCAAACAAAAAGAATAAATTTAGAGAAGAAATTAACACATCGCTTGTTCAAATATAGTTTTAAAATTAACTTAAGGTTCAGTTTAGTCTAAAAGATAGTCATCTGTCCTATAAAATTCTAGAACAAAATTCACATTAACATGACTTCTATTTACTGTATTCCCTTTATATTCACTTTTTTTTTTTTTTTTTTTTTTTTTTTGTACGGGGGATTGAATTTGGGACCTTGCACTTACAAGGCAAGCAGAACCACTGAGCTAAATCCCCAGCCCTTATATTCACGTTTTTAAAAACACTCACTTAAAAAAACTAATTCACAATTTTAAATGAGTCATGACAACTCGCCAAACCAAATTCAGTATGGAAATCAATGAATCAAATTATTCTGAATCTTGGTCCTGTACCAAAATAATATCATGATTACTAATTAAAGTCACCTTCACAATGATTATATATCAAAAATAAAAGCTACAAAGCTACCTATAAAAAGATAATAACTAAGTAGTAAAGACTAAACCACACATTAATTTTAAAATTTATATTTTAGTAATTTTGTGATTATTTATAATTACTTTGACTGAAAGTATCTTTATAAAGCTAAGCACAATAAAAAAATTTAGGACCCACCTATTTTTGCCCTTACCTAATGCCCTTAAGAATGTTCTATGACAGTTCTAAACTCAAAGAAACCAAAAGAATCCCTAAACCATCTCTTTAGAGTTAATACTACCTTTATTTTATGAAATAAGGCCTCTGACATCTGGGACAGAACATTTTTTCCTTTTAAACTGAATTCCATTTGTCTAAAGAGAGTTTACCTGATTCTCATTTGATCATCACTCCCCATACATGCACCTACCATGCATATGGCACTCATTCATTTATACACACTGTCTTCTAAAATCAGGTGTGACTTTCCCCATTAGAAAGTTTAAATTAAAGCTGGATGTGACGGCACACGCCTGTCATCTCAGCACTCTGTGAGGCTGAGAGAGGAGAATAGTAAGTTTAAGCACAGCCTAGAAAATGTAGCAACTTACTCAGATCCTGTCTCAAA